ACTTGTAAAAGGCCTTGGCCTTGACCAAGGAGGGGAACCCTCTCGGTAGTTTCTGTCCTGCTGTATATAAGTTGTGGGTGGTGGGGCTGGAGGTAAAGGGCCATTGTGTTTAGTAGGTGGACTCACTTCTCTCAGTGAAGTGGTGGCAGGGGAGGGTTGAGAGGTTTAAAAGAAGGTTCGGTAAAATAGTGAAGATTTGGACTAGGCACTGAGGAGAAAGGAGAAAGGGAGAAGGAGCTGTCTGAGGCCAGTGAAAGACCTAACTGGTGGTGGGTACTCAGGGTCCAGCTGAATGAGGTTGGTGCCCTTGACACTGGCAGTGCCAGTCTGTCTCTAGTTGTGTGGTTTTCTCAAGCAGCCCTCAGTGATAAAGGTGGAGATTATGGCGTCATCCAGCGATGGGGTTTTTCTCTGTGGGTGCGGTGGAAGAACATGACTACAAAAGAACTGAAGGTGTTACAGGAAGGGTAGTTCACAAGATCTACCATGGGGTCTAAGCACGGAAAAGGGAGAGGGTAGAATAGAGCTGGTAATCTGGGAGGAAACAGAGCGGACAAAGAATTGTAGGTCTCTTAACAGGTCAATGAGCAGGTTAGGTGGGGTTAAGAGAATGAAAGCTAAAGGACAGGAGCAAATTAATGCCACTGTAAACACATGACCTCCAGACTCAACTGGGCCATTGACACTGCCCAGCCATGTGACCATGAGATAGATCACTCTCCAAATCCCCACAGTGATTATTTGACATTTTCCCCTGAGCTTTGACACATCTCCACTCTCACACCCCCCATTCTCAGGAGAGGAACTCACCTTGTAATTTAAAGAGTACGTGGAACCCCTCAGATGGGCACTCTGAAACCTACAAATGATCCTGCATTCACACTCTTGTTTCAAGGGGTCTCACATCCCATCTAACATCAACACTTTTACCTGTTCTCTGAATCCCATCCTCCACAGCCTTTACCTGGACCTAGCTACATCAATCATCCTCCTTTTCTCCTGGGTATATTCAAGCTATCTCACTCTCTACTGGCTCCATCTCATCAGCTGAAATACACACTAATCTTTTTAAAAAAAGAGAAGCCCTATTCACTTCCACATCCTTCTTCAGGAACCACTTTCCCTCTCTTACTCTTCTCAGCTCAGCTTCTTCAGAAGTGTTTCTATTTGCTCTTTACTTTTCTGCCTCCCTGTTACTCTTCAACCAACTCACAAAGCTGATGGTTTTCTGAGAGATACAGACGAGTCAACTGGCAATTACAGGACAGTGTGATGAGTGCTACGATACATGCTGTACCATTCCTTGCTCACACTTGTCACGCTGATCTAGTTGCTATTTATCTGTGTGTATGTGTATCCTCCAGACTGCAAGCTATGAGAGCAGAGATGCTATCATGGTTAGCACTGTCTCGTCGGAGCCCAGCAAACTGGTTGTCATGTAAAAGGCACCCATTGTTTGCTGAATGATTAAATGAAAATACTGATGTTCATACACATAATAAACATGTTTGTTTTATACAATAGAAAGTTTCCAACTTAAGGAATATTAGGAACCTATTTTTGGTAGTTAACCATAGCACAGGTCTGACAGCCACAATTACTGAGTAAACTGTTTTTATCAGTCACTGTAAAATACAGTCAGAAGGAGAAGGGGCATACTTCTGGAATTTAAGTGTTCAGACTGATGGAAAACCACAGGTATAAGGACACTCTTACAAAATTGAGGGTGAGGAGGAGGAAGACAGCACGGAAATAGACACTGGTAATAAGGAAATATCAGAAATGAAAATGTGTGCTGTTACTCATTCACACCAGGCCTAATGGTGGGCTTACCACCAGTGTTGTAGGGTTGGTTACCATAAAGGCTTTTCCTCCAAGGTTTTTAAATAGATTCTCTGGGGATTACTTTTTTCTTCCCATAACAATTTCATAAAAATAGTTGTCAGAAAACAAGGATTTAGTCCAATATTCCTAGCATAAATCTGTTGCATAAGACACAATTATTTGTTTTGCTGGGCAGAAATATTTAAGAAACCAAGATTATTAAATAATTGTACTGTGTATTTAAAATACATTAAACATATTAGCACATATGGCTTAATACATTTTATTTCACCAATATTAATGCATACATATTACCATATTGATTAAGATAGCAACATATTAAAAAGTAAAGGACTGAAATTACCTGTTGGTCTGAATCTGCTTGTAATACAGATCTATCTGTAATCAGGACTGCCCTGGAGATCTGCCTATAATGCACAAAACAGTTAATCAGTGATTCAGATTCCATGGATAAGTTTCATTTATAGTTATATAACCACCAGAAGGCATGTTTCAAAGATTGAAGTCACGATAAAAGTGTCACCTCCCCAAACCAAGTCAAGTTCTGCTTTCATCTTTTCTTGGCTCATGAAAGGAGGATGTGTGACCTGCAGGCAAACCCCAGCTGATGCAATGGAGTCAAAATTAGGCTATGCTCCCCCAAAACCAGACACTATAAGAGAACAGTGGTAACATATTCAGTATCTTTTGTTTGGTATACATTTGCATCTTACTTGAGCAGCAGTCATACAGAAGTGTCAATATAATCACACAGCTAAATTTTCCTCAGTTTCACCTTCCCTTGGACAGTCGGTGAAGGGGTGGGGTGCCTTACCTGTACTGCACGTGCGAGCATGTGGTCTCAGAAAAATAACTGTCCTCCACAAGGAAATGCTTAGACATTATTCTCTGACCAAACTGATCTATGATTGCTTTGCATCTACGAAGAAGCATAGCAAAAAAGTTTTCATTGACGATTAAATCACTGAGCAAATGAACATAATCAGCTACCAATTTTGAATCTAAAAACCAATTTCTTAGAAGATTTAAAAATTGTGCACAATTTCATATTTTTGACACAAAACTGACACTAAATTAGAGAATACATATCATTGTTGCTATTTTGAAGACTTAAACTATAAAGTAAGGGTGAGACAGAACTTATTTATTTTGAGTAGCATTAATAAGTAACAAAGTTAGGACAAGTATTATCATTTAAGTTTTTCTAATGTTTAGGAAAATAGAAACTTTCCCTTTGTTTAGAAAACTGACTTTTTCTTAATAGATCTAAGAAAGGGGGGGATAAAAGTTCATTAAATACCTTGCTATATCATTTACAGTCTTTAAAACCCACTAAAGCCTTTTTATTTTTCTGTTAAGTGTTGCTTTCTCTTTTGTTCAAGAATAGCTATCTGGTCACACGTGTGATAATGTTTTTTTAAGAAAAGGACTAGAGCTTCTTTTAATATCTGTTTCCACTTTACTTCAAAGGATGATCATAGAAAGATTTCTTTCAAGTGCTGTTTCCAAATAAGGAAAACACTTATGCACGGACATTATCAGGTCTCTGTCATCTGATATGTGTTGGGGCAATGAATCATATAGAACCCTCCATTGACCTTCTTTCAATGTGTCTAGATAAAAGGATGAAAATTAGAATCCATCTCCTTGCAGTGCCACAAGTTATAAATGTACTTTATAGGGCTCATTATCCAAACTAATGGACTAAGGGCAACATCCTTGAAATGGACTTACCAGCACTGACAAAGCCAGTATGCAATATTTCAGGAACTATATGCAAATGCCTACATGTTTGCTATATCTTCTTATTATGGAAATATCACAGTTTACTTTTGTCACAGCTTCTCCTTTTGGGACCAGCACTATTTTATTAGAAATCTACTTATATGTTGTTCCTCATAAAATGCAAGCAAATAATTTCAAATTTCGACGGTATTTTAAATATACTGGTATAAATTCAAACATGCTATTTCACTCAAAATTAAGCCAAATAAGAGATATTTACTAGGCATAAAGGCATTAAAAATAAAATGATGAATACTCAAGACCAATCGTGAGACAAATTTGATGTGTATTTCCTAAAGGCAGATTATAATATACTGGTATTCTTGAATAAATGACGTGCCACTGTTGTCAGGAGAGACTATGATATCTCGTGATATTAGTACTACATAATATATAGTTGAATCAATTAACCACATAATAATATATAATGTAATAAAATTAATATGTTATTACATTAATATTTGTGATTTGTTTTCCATGTCAACTCCATTTCCTTATCTCCTCACATATCACTGAACAAGAGCTCTTGCCTTATAAAATACCTAACTAAATAGACATAAGGTATTTATACCTCAATACAATATTTTTCAAAATAATTATTTAAAAAGTAAAAAGGTAAGTTACTCACTCAGACTCCTGTTTTAAAGCATTCGTAAACAATTTCAAATACAAGGTACTTTAGGCAATGACTAAAAGAAATCTGCTTCTCTATCATTAAACACTGATAGCTCTTTGTCCTGAAAGCACTGACAACCTTTTTTCTTACCTTTAACTCAGAGACTATCTAAAGTCAAGAGGGAATAATCTGGGCAGAAAAAAAGGGGTTCAAATCTTCTATATATCTTGATAAGGATTTGGGTTATACAGATATATCATTTGTCAAAACTCAGCTAATGAGCACTTAAGATTTGGGCACCTCATCGTATGTAAATTTCACATCAAAAGAAAAAGCTATAAATAAATATTAAACTCTAATGATATTCATGCTGAGATGTTTAGGGGGAATTATACTGATGTCTAGAATGTACAGTGAAATGCTTTAAAAAGGTAAAAAGATGGATAGAGGAATGAACATTTGGGCAGATATATGATTAAGCAAGTACCTATATTAAAATGGTAATTGTAGACTCTAGATGGTGGATATACACATTGTTCATCATAAAATTCTTCCAACACTGATGTAGATTTGAAAATTTTCATCATAAAATGCTGGAATAAAATTGGGGTGTGGTGGCTAGTATAAATCCTGGATTCTAAGTCTTTGCAGAAAAGCTTCCCTTTAAATAAACTACACAATTAAATCCTGCCATAAGATATAGAGACCTCCTTGCTTTGTAGGATTCCAAGAGCTTAATAGGGTTGCTTTAATGGTAGCTACACTTTTGGTGACAGGTAGGCATTGGTTTCAGAAGCTGTGATACTAAAAGGAACTACTGGGGCCACTCAAAATGGAAGTATGGGGGGCATGGGGATTATGGAGCTCAACTGCACAAGGACAATAAGCCAATAAATGTGCCTATTTATGCTGAAGCTTCTGGACGAAACAGTGATTCTCAGAGGAGGAGGAGAAGGAAGCAAATCAGAATCACACCTGGGGGACTTTTCAAATTATAAGTACCCCTGGAGATTCTGATAAGCTCCCAAATCCCAGGGAAGAATCACTGTCAAGCATGCCACTGTTACTAGTGTATCTGTATGCTGTGCTAGGTGGAGAAAAGTCAAGAGCTATTGCTACATAAAAAATATTGATTTCTGCAGAAATTGAGGTTATGGTCACATATCCCCTGTCAGTCTGGTAGATGATAATAACAGGACTCACCTGATCCTCTCATTCTGAAGTACTAAGGCTCTAGACCTGAACAAAGCTGTTCAAAGCAAGACAAGTTTAAGTAAGTGATAAGATTTGTTTTCCCCTCAGATACTTGACTTACTGTCATGTATTTGGCCTAATTAGGAGAACAATGAAGAAAGGAATATTGCCTTGGAACCTAGACTTGGAGTTTGTATTATAAGACTAATATAAAAATTAGATGACATTCAAGTAATGGAAAACAGCAAAATGAAACAGTGCTGCCAGAGACATTAAAATACCCTCCTGCCCACTCCTCGCACATGAACCTGAGGAAGCCATTAAAGATTAAAAGCATTTTGGATTTAGTTGAGGGCTTTCCTGAGCCTCATAAATTGAGGAGGAACATGATAGGAGTTCCCAGTTACAGGGATGCAATGACCACAGAGTTGATCATAAGAATCACTGAAGCCAGACAGAACATTTCTAGAGCTGAGCTTTCTAAATCAACAAATCAAATAGTCAGTTCTGGGTTCGCTGACCCGAGGGCATAAATAGCGAAATGATAATAAGGAAGAAAACATTCAGCAAGATGAAACTCTTTATCTGGAATTTGACCCAGAAGAGAAAAATAACATTAAAACAGGTATCCAACCTCTATGATCTTCAGAATTAATACCCCAACTAACTGTATGATAAGGAATGCAGAAATCACATACGAAATAATTAAAAGGAATATATATGAAGGCAATCAGAAGATCCCCAATCACTGAATGAAACAAAATAATTCTTCCATGCTTTCTCACACACATGCCACCTTTTCAATGAAACCATTCCAAAACACTTATCACTCATTTCTCTTGGGTACAAATCCACTCCAATAGTTTCAAACACCATTATTAACCTGCTCTGGCCAACCAAAGCTCTGTATCCATATTTTTAACTATTTATTATCTAGTTCCTTCTGGAGAGGCTCCAAACAACACTTTTTCAACCCAGCATGCCCCAAACTGAGTTCATCATGGCTCCTCATCTGCTTCCCCCCTTGGAATCCCTGACCAGCACTTAAGAGTTTCCCTAGCTCAGAATCTCTCTTCCCATATCTAAGCTGCTACACAATTTTCATTCCACCTTATAAAGATTTCTTGAAACTCACCCCTTCTCTCCATCTCCACTGACATTGCCTTAGACTCTTGTTAAGTCTAATAAGACAATGGACTATTAGCAAGTTGGTAGCTCATTTGCTCGACATAAATGTATGGCATAATGACGATGTGCCAATCACTGTTCTAAAAGGTGAGAATAAAAATATCTTGTCCTTAATGAACTGCCAAAGAAATGAAGATTTAGGCACAGGGAATTAAAAGACAATGCCCAAGTCCAGTGATAAGATGAGGATAGGGCATCATGAAATCACTAAGGGGAGGTACCTAACTCTGCATAGCAGGGGGAGGGATGGAGTATCAGGCAATGGCCTGAGGGGAAGTAGTACATTAGTTGCTTTGGAAAGATGAAAACCAGTTAAGCAAGCAAATAAAAACACTTCCCGTAGAAAGGCAGCATGTGCAGGGGTACAGAGGCAAGAAAGAGAAATACAGGGAACCACAGGCAGTTCAGTGTTAATTGTCAATAAAATAGAAGTGGGGTGGGGAGAGAGATGAGCTTAGAGAGGCAGGCAGAGACCAGATCCCAGAGTTTCACTTGTCATGTAAAAGGGTCTTAAACTTTATTCTGAAGTGATATAAAGCTACTGAAGCTTTTTCCACAGGGAGGGTCAGGGCTAACTCTGCATACTGAACAGATCTCATTGCGTAATTATCTCGTTAATTTATTTGTTCTTTAATGTCCCCCAGCAGACTCTAAACTCTGTGAGAACAAAGGCCATGATTGTTTTGTTCTCTGCTGTATCCCCAGTGCTTGGCACACAGAAAACAGCTAATACTTGTTGCATGGATGGCTGAATGGATGGATGGATGATGCAAGTATTCCATGCACATGGACACTGTAGAAACAGAAATAAAGATACAGAATCTCTGATTTACGAGGTAAAGAATCTCTTTTCATCACAGGGTTTCTCCCAAATCACTGCCAAAATTACTAACGTAAAAGTAGCAAATCTAATCTTATAATTTACCCACTTAAAACTATCACTGACCATAGTCCAAACTCCTTAGTGCAACATGGAAGGATCTTCACTATATATATATATATATCACTCCTCCACGGGATTCCAAATGATCCAATTACATGAATTGAGTTCTTGTTGTGTGTAACAAAGGGTTCTACATGCTTTATCTGTTCACTTAATACTCAAAATAACCCAGTGAGGTGGGAACTGTCATGTACCACTTTACAGATAAAGAAACTAGAGCACAGAGAGGTTAAACAACTTGTTCAAATTCACTCAGCTAGGAAGTGGGGAAGCCAGGATACAGATCTAGGTCTATCTGACTTTAGAGCCTACACTCTTCACTGCAGACACTTTGTACACAAGGGCAAGGTTCGTGTTTCATTCATTACTTTATCCCCATAGGAACTAGCATGGGGGTTGTTGGAGGTTAAATATTAGACTATTACCACTATCATTTTGTAAATGGAACATGCAAAAATCAGAAACTCAGCAATTTTCCTACAATGACAAATGGTATTCAGTGACCTCATACATGGTCTAACATACTATTCACCACTAACTTCCAAGTATCTGGGAAAGGTATAGTTGTTATTCCTGATATCACAAACAGAATATTTCCAGGAAATAGCCATAGCAGGAAATCTAGTGAGACAGCTGAAGTACACAAGGAACACTAGCTGTAATAATTAGATTTGGACTATTGGTTACAGACGTATCTAGTCCAAGGTTATCCATACCCTACCCTAGTATCAAATACTGTATTGCTAAATGGCCAAATCTAATTTACAGGAGTTTTACATGGTCAGCACAGCTGCGAAGGAAAAGGAAGCTGCTCAACAAGAACATTCAGTGTTTCCAGAAACAGTAAACAGAGGGTTTCAGTATGAGAATTTAATGAGAGGGTATAGAAAAGAACTACTGGTACCTATGTCCTCTAAAAATTAAGAAAGTAGAGCCAATGGATCATATAGCACAGAGAGCGTAGTCAATGGAGATCTCAGGAAAGGCAACTTAAACAAAAGTGAAAAATAATATCTAGCTGAAAATAAGTATGCATTTGGTTACACAGTCCATACTTCTCTCAAAGTTTATACAATACTTTGATGTGTAATCACCACATTAAATATGATGATACATAAGTGCTACGATCATTTATGCTTCTATCAGCTTTCCTCAATAGAAGGCGAAAAGAAAAGCACAAAAAATTATCATCAGTTTTTAATCTTCATTCATCCATTTAATACATACTTTTTGAGTATATAATGGGTCATAGGAACCAGCCTTGCTTCTGGAGATGTAGTAATGAGATCCTGCCTTTTCTTACAGGGCATTAAAAAAACAATCAGACAAGGGGACCTGACTCAGGAGCCTGGCAAAGGGTTCTGATCTACTCTGCAGGATCACAAAATGATCAACTTTGACCTTAGCCGTGAGGCACGAGTAGCTCTTAACTACACCAAAGGGGAGAGATGTCAAGTGTTCCACACAGAAAAATAGGAACAGAAAGGCAATCTAAGGAGACAAATGCAAATGCAGATTCCTTGATTAATATTTTAATTACACTTAGCATAAACAATCATTTGAGTCAACCTGGAAACCTTAAAAAGAAATATATACTGCATATACCCAAATATATGTTCAAGGTGTTTCCCTTAAAAAATTATTCCTCACTTTATACTAAGTCCTGATAAAATATCTCCTATTTCTGGTAGCTCTCTCAATTATTTTTATTTGAACAACAAAGTAGTGTTTAGGAAAGATACATGAGCCTAAGTCAACTTCAATCAATGCTCGCTTTAGATATTTATGGAGATTATTTGACTTGATATAATGGATTTTTTTTAAAGAGGCAAAACATCATTATAAATTTGGTAATTATTAGTGAAGGTATGAATGTACAATCTTTAAGTATTAGCTGTCTCTTACATAAAACTTTTGAAGATCACTTAAGCGATTCAGTACTGTGAGAATATTGTAGATGTCATGAATATTATGAATGCAGGTCAAATTTTAAAAACTGTTCTACTATTAAGGAAATAAATAGTTATGGTTTGGAATAAATTTTCCAGTAGAAGAATCACACATAGAATTCAAAATGGCTGTATCTTAAACAACCAAGATGAACAAGAGAAAAAATATTCATTAGAAAACTGGGGTTCTAGTAAAATAATAGTACAATAGCCTAAGTAGACATTTTGGTATTTCATTTATATCCATAAAAGTAGACAAATACATGTTAATTTTTAAAGATTTCTCACTGGGACTGCAGATTACACTAATATGTGATAATGGCCTACATTTGGGCATACAAAACATTTTAAGATAATTTATTTCCAAATGTTGAGGGAAAACTAAGTACTTTCTAGGTATTTTCATTAACCAAAACATGTCATATCTGGGAGAAAACTCGGAGATTACTGCAGAGTCCATCTAACTCATCTTACATATAAAGGAACTGGCCCAGAGAAAAATAACTCGCCCATTGTCATTCTTGGCAGCAATAAAGGTTCAGGTCTTCTCGCATTCTAGGACTACCTGACCATGCATGCCTTAGGAGCTATTAGACAATAATTATTGATTGAAGTCTTTCTATGAAGATACAGAAGAAATGTTAATTCAGTAGCAATCTGTTTGGTATTTAAAATTCATATTTAATTTTAGTAGATCTGGAAGGTTCATCTTGATAAGAGCTTAGAATGAATTAGGATCCAGAGCCCCCAGGCCATCATGAAACACAGTACCATTGGCTCAGTCCTGAACTTTACGTTATAGATCAGTGTTTCTCAGTGTCATCTAAGAAGCACCTACATTAGATTCATTTGGGGTGTTTCTGAAACTGCAAATGCCCTGGCTCTACTCTAAGTACATTATCTAATTTTACTCTCCTAGGGTGAGGCTCAAACATCCGCATGTTGTGTTTTGTTTTTGTTTTACAAGTTAACTTGGTGATTCTCAAGCACATTAAAATTTGAAAACTACCAAACTTTGGTCTTTAGATCCTCAGCCCTCAGATATCTGTTGCAACTGAAATCTGCAGCATATCATAAAGAAGAGTTCCTCTGTTCACAGTTTGTAATAAAAATAAAGTCAACGTGAAGGTAAATGTAGCCTTTGTTCAACAAATGCTATTACTGAATTAACGTAACCATTTTTTTTTAGACAAACACGAGCCACGCAAATTCTTCATGTCACTAAGAGTAACATGTGGGACTGGAATGGGGCCCAGAATAGGTAAAAGGATCTAAGTAAATAAGCACCAAACAAGTAATTCATTATCTGGCTTTCCATCATGGGAACATGCTCATGCTTCAAAATGAATACATAAAGAAAAATGCTTCTAAAAATCATAAAGACAACTATGCCTTCATGAACCTCCACAGAGCTCTTCATGAGCCAATATATGAATATCCTGGGCCTTCGGAGATAGATTTTTCATGTTTCATTTATGTAGCGCCTTTATGTTAAAGTACTATTAAGTATTTTGTCAGCCTTTAAACCATGTGTCTACTTTATCTTATAATGGAGAATTATTTTTCTAAAGCAAATTTACTATCTAAATATTATATGATCTGGAGTTGAATTTTTTCCCCACTATACCTAAAAATACTAGGTATTGCACTATATAACTAGTCTATAAGAAGATAACAGACATTTTATGCCACTTAGACTATAGGAAATTATTGCAAAATGAAAGAAACAGCTTAAAATTTATATTTTTAAGCTTCTGAATGAACAATTTCTTTATATTCCCCTAAAAACAGTCATCCAAGAGATATGTCAGTAGATACTGAAGAACACAAAACAAAAACACAGTAGCAATTTAAATAGCTCCTAAAAGTTGATCCAATTGACCCATTTAAATTTTAATGTAAAACCTAGAAATCAAAGAATACTACTTACTTAGTGTAATTCAGAGAACAGCATATGTTAGTAACTAAATAATAAACTCCAGAAAAATATAATTGAAATACAAAAATGCACAAATAGGTGGTGCTCTGCTTTTTTTAAAAAGCAGGTACATTCTTATTTCAATCCTAAACCAGCCTGCAGGCCTGCTCTGGTTGTAAAAGAATTTATCTTCAGATAACAGGGCAGCATAGTTTATGACAACAATCTACCTAAAAACTCATTAAAGTCTTTTCTCTTGGAGTGACATGCATTATCAGCAGAGATTAATCTGATGAGTCTTTAGGTGAGCTCCATTTTTAAAAATGCAATAACAGAGGGCTTTGTTGTCATCTGATGAAAATCAATTAGAGGAGGTAAGGCCACAAGGAAAACTAACATCACTCATCACCCACCCCCAGCAGCTGAAATGATTTGTCTTCCAAGCTTGGGTGATCAGGAGCTATAGTCATATTGCAGGGAAATTAATTTAGTTTCTATATTCTGAACTCACTTTCCTTGTTCTGGAGGATCTAAACACAAATTACTTTTAATCAAGGTTGATATGTTATTAATACCAAGGAGGATCTTTGAAGAACCATTTTTTAAAAATCGACTTTAGCATTTTTCACCTCTGCTTGGGGTGTAAATATATAGGAAGGTAACTTATGTCATCCTTACTTTCCAGATTCTTTGTCCACAACAAGGCACTGTACTGAATGGCGAAGACAATAGATTCCACCAAACACAGCACACATCCTGGAAGAGAATAGAGAAAGAGAAGTAGGATTCTTGAGGTGAAAATTAAGGTAACGTTATTTTCTTTTAGTATCGTACATTTAATAACTGGCCTTATAGACAATGGATTTTGATAATGTATTATTTTCTCTATCATGACATTAAGAATTTATCAGAGGTAAGATTAGTAATATTTTGACACAACAGAGGTCCTACTTCTAATAGTTCAACGTGGAAGACTAGAACTGTGTGTGACCAAGCCAAAAATTTCCCGAAGCAAAGCTCAGCTGTCCCCCCAAGCCAGCTACTGACTACATAAGATACACAGATTACAAACAGCCTCAAGAGGTGATGTCACCTCCAACAGAAGAGACCACACAGAAATGTTAAGGAGGAAACAAGCAGGGAAGACTCTGGGAGACCCCTGGAGATTTTGCTTACCAAAGAGAAAGCAAAAGCTAAACTGGGAACTGAAAACTACAGCAGTTAAGAACATGAGTTAATGTTGCAGAAGCGCTCTAAGAAGTTTGCCCTCTCGTGAATCTAAGGGCTTGGGTTTTAATGCCCATACAGGCAAAGGAGAGGCCTTAGGTTCCAAACAAGGCAGGCAGTAGAAAATGAGATGTTCTCTCAGAATGTCCGGATCCTTTAGGGCAGCAGTTCTCAACCTGTGGGTCGCGACCCCTTTGGGGGTCGAACAACCCTTTCACAGGGGTTGCCTAAGACTATTGGAAAACACATATTTTCGATGGTCTTAGGAACCGAGACACCGCTTCTCTATCCGTCTCCAGGCGGGTCCGCCCACATACAGATACGCCCACATACGAGTACACGGCGTGATGACATCACAGTGCCAACCCCATCACATACACCCCGTACAAATACAGGTGTATGTGACAGGGTTGGCACCATAATGTACTTATGCGGACCAGTCACACATGTGTAGAGAGCAGCTACTGTGTAGAAAGCAGCTGCTGTGTTGAAAGCAGCAGTATTGGAGGTAAAACGACACTTCATGAATTATAAATATTTCACAATATATAATTACATATTGTTTTTGTGATTAATCACTATGCTTTAATTATGTTCAATTTGTAACAATGCAAATACATCCTGCATATCAGATATTTACATTACGATTCATAACAGTAGCAAAATTACAGTTATAGAGTAGCAACAGAAATAATTTTATGGTTGGGGGTCACCACAACATGAAGAACTGTATTAAGGGGTCACGGCATTAGGAAGGTTGAGACCCACTGCTTTAGGGACTACACTTCAGTGAAAGGATGGTCTAGGAGGGGAAAATCACTTACTACAATAGGGAGAAAACAAAAGAAATTGTTTTATCTAAAGCTGTGTGGAGGAAAACTATACCTCTGTATTTACAACCAGTAGTCTGCCCTCACAAGGTTGGGGGTTTGAAATTACTACATGATCCAAGAAACTTTAACCAATACAATACCATGAAAAGTGGCTCTGGGTCAGTAGCACCCATGGAGACTTGGTAAAAAGCAATTGCTAAAACTTTCTGAGCGATATGGCCTCAACCCAGGCTACATGAGATTGCCACAGATTGAGTCCCTTTACGATGAGTTCATAATCTAAAATGATACAACAGATGAAGAAATGTATCTTATTCTGAGTGAGAATTAACAGACACAACAAACAGCAGGATTATACTCCCAGGAACTGTATTCAGATTATAGAACTATCAGACAGAGCTTATGAGTATGCTTAAAAGGGATGAATTAAAAACGTAAGAGTAATGGGAAGTCCAGAAAGAAGGCTGCAATACACTAAATAATGCCCCCACTAATGATGTGCCCATTCTAATCTCTGGAACCTGTGGATATGTTCCTTTACACAGCAAGAGGGCCTCAGCAAATGTATCAAATTAAGGATCTTGAGATAAGAAGATTAACTTGGATTATACTCGTGGGTGCAATATCATCAGAAAGGTACTTTAAAAAAGGAAGCAGGGGGCTCAAAGTCAGGGAAGATCTGAAGAAGGAAGCAGATTGCAGTGATGCTGTTGCTGGAAGGAGGTCAGAAGCCAAGGAACTCAGGGAGCCTTTAGAAGCTGGAAAAGGAAAGAATCAGATTCTCCCCTAGAGCTCCAAGAAGGAATGCAACGCTGCATACCCATTTTAGACTTCTGACCTCTAGGAATGTAAGATAACAAATTCGTTTTGTTTTAAGATACTAAGTTTGCAGTAATTTGCTATGGCAGCAATAGCAAACTAATACAAAGACCCATACATATATAGGCATGATTATGACAGTGCTGGCATTACAGACCCGTGGGGAAAGAATGGACCATTGAAAAAATGGTTTAGAGACAATATGGAGAAAATAATTATATCCCTGTTTTATACCATATTCAGAATCAATTCCAGGTAGATAAAAGGCACAAATATAAAAGGGAAAACTTCTAGAAGAAAATACAGGAGGATGTATTTTGGGCTCAGGGGAAAGAATTATTTCTTAAATAAGATGCAAAAAAAAATCCTATAGAAAAATATTGAGAAAATGGTGTACTTTAAAATTATAAACATCTGGACAGAAACAAAAAATTGAAAAGAAAACCCGCAGTCTAGGAAAGATGTGCAAATATATTACAAATTGTTTAAAAATATCAGTTTGGATAATAATTTGGCAGTATCTAGTCAAGTTGAAGATGCATACATCTACAGTGCAGCAATTCTACGATGAGGGACAACTCTTACAAAACGTTTTATACACGTACAGTAAAACCTTGAATTGCGAGTAACTTGATTTGCAAGTGTTCTGCAAGACAAGCAAACATTTCTAATACATTTTAATGTGGTAAACGAGCGATGTCTTGCAATTTGAGTAGTTTGTTTCCGGAATGAATTATGCTCAAACCAAGGTATTACTGTATACAAGATGGCATAAAAATATCTGTTGCTGCATTATTTTTAGACAGCATGGCATAGCGGTTATGTGGAAAGATTCTGACTGCCTGAGTTCATAACCCAGCTATTCTCTATAATGGCTGTGTGACTTGAAACAAGGTATTTAACCTCTCTGTATTCTATTATTTTTCATCTATAGAATGAGAAGAAGTACACTTATCTCATAGAGGAGTCTTCTGCGGATTAAATGAGTTAATATTTGTAAAGAACCTACACAGTACCTGACACACAATAAAAATTACACTAGCACTGACGAATTAAATAAAATAGGTACTATTTGACATATGTTACATGCATCCTAGATATCCATCAAGAGGAGACTGGACAAAATAAAATGTGGTATATTCATATGTGTAATAAAAAATTAACTTAGCCCACAAAGAGGTCTGGCCTGTCCTTGGCTTCTGGGAGATGATCTCTAAGCCTCTGGAATGCCAAACCTGTAAGGAGTGCCTTGAGTCACCAGACAGTATAATACAGAGTGAGGCCTGACCACATCAGATAGTCTTACAGTAAAGACTAGTCATGTCAGAACAACCAACAGTGTGATATAGGGTAGAGGATTTGGGTCATATGCAATCAGTCAACTTCCAGTGGGGCTGGAGACATCAGCCCCGTGAGCTATCGGCCATGCCTGAGTGATGGAGCTCTAATAAAAACTCTGGACATTGAAGCTCAAATGAGCTTCCCTGGTTGGCCATTCTATGTGCATACTGTTACACATCAACATCAGAGGAATAACACTGTCCTGACTGCACAGGGCGAGGACAACTGGAAGCTCCACATTTGGAACCTCCCTGTACTCCATTCTATACACTTCTTCCCTTGATTGATTTCTATCGATAACCATTCCCTGTAATAAAGCATAACTGTAAATGTAACAGCTTCTAGTCCTGGGAGTCCTTTAAATGAACTACTGAACATGAGGAATCCCCTAAACTTGCAGATGGTGTCAGAAGTGTGGGAGGTTTTGTGGTAACTGTACCCCCTCTACCTGTGTAGTTGATTTAACTTCTCTCATTGTATAATGGAATACTATAAGCAATTTAAATGAATGAACTACAGCACCATCTATCAACATGGATAAATGGCAAAAAAATACAAAAATTGAATAGTAACTGGTTGGGGAAGAATATGTCCAGAATAATATCATTTATAAAAAGTTTCAAGACTTTATATGCAAAATACTATATATTATTTGTGGATACACATATATGTAATGAAACTGCAAAAACATTTAAGGGAATTATAAATACCAAATTCAGGATAGGAGTTATCTCTGGGGAGGGAGGGAGTGAAAGTTACACTGACGGTTTTAATTTCTCAGTTTCTTTATAAAAATATATTGAGAGCAAATATTTCAAAACGTTAAGATTTGACAAAACTGTGACTGGTTACACGGTGGTCTTTATGTTATTCTCTGTTCTTTCTGAAATATCCTTAAAATATTTCATAATCAGATTACATGAAAATATAAATTTATGGTAAAGTGACATTCTCTAAGTATGGCGTAATATTCCCACTGTCTTTATACATTTCATCATTTTAGTGGATATGACTAAGTTAGTTAGGGTAGATGAGGTTAGGTGATAATTTCTTCTGGCATAGGACAACAAGGAAATTATGTTATTTTTCCATTGAGAAATTTAGACTAATACAAGGTCTGACAATTAAGTTTGCCAACTTGTTGCAACAATGTTGCTAACCTTTTTTTGCTATTAGAGAGATTATTTATCATGCATTTGTACCAACTGGACAAACAGTTAACCAAGTTTACTATTTGGAAGTGCTGAAAAGGCTGCATGAAAAAGTTAAGACAAAAATGACCTGAACTTTTCACCAACAATTCATGGCTCTTGCATCAAGACAATGTACCAGCTCACACGGCACTGCCTGTGAGGGGGTTTTTAGCCAGTAAACAAATAACTGTATTGGAACACCCTCCCTACTCACCTGATCTGGCCCCCGAGGACTTCTTTCTTTACCCAAAAGTATAGGAAATATTGAAAGGAAGACATTTTGATGACATTCAGGACATTAAGGGTAATACGATGACACCTCTGATGGCCATTCCAGACAAAG